ATTTTTGTAGTTTTTCTGTAAAATTAATGGTTTTCGCATTAAAGCATTGAGAAAGGGACTATATCACCATCTTCGAGTTAGGATGCGAGTGTTTTTTTACGTCTTTTGGCTAGAAGCCACAGTCTATGTTTAAAATGAAAGTTGTTTTTTTATTAAGGAGTAAAAAATATATCAAAGAAACGTAAAAAAAATATTTAGAATATAATTTTTTTGTCATCCATTGTCGCTATTTTTAGATTCACTATCATTTTGGTTTCTGATAAAATGTCGAGTGGAATCAAATCTTGATTTAAATCTACGTCTTCATCATTTTAATCATTTTTTGATTATGCGTTTAACTATGACTGAAAACGGCAATGTCCACAAACTTTTGAATATTTCAATAATTTTTTTGCATCACTTTTGCCGCCACATTTTTGTACAATTATAAAAGATTGTGTTCATTAGATGATTCATAAAGTCTTTTTGCCTATAGTATATTATTATTTAACTCCCAACCCCTCTGTTCTAGACCAATGTCTCTTCTTAGTCAAGTTTGTATTTTTAGTACACTCGATAAATATATTGTTGAGCTGCTGAAGAAGTAAGAAGTAATAAAGGAAAATTTTCAATTCCACTTTGTCTTGTTAGTTTATCAATGCTACTGTATCTGTAATTATCTATTTAATGTTATTTTGGGGCACCACATATGTATCAACTATTTCAGAGCATTAATAACCCAATAGAAGTGTTTAGTGCCCAAGAAATAATTTTGCAACTGAACTATGTATGTCATATTGCAGGAGGCAACATAAATGTTATCTCTTTATAGTAGTTTTACTTCGTTGTAGTTAAAAAAAAAGAATGGAAACTTATAAGTTTAATTTCAATTAATCCTTATGTTTGGAGATTAGTGACAATTTGACTAGTAAACAGTTACAGTAAAAATATTAAGCATATGCGTAAAAGTGTTATGTATTTTTTGTCTTCTTCTTCTACCTGGCAATTTTCCAGGTTTAGCCAGAGTCTGCCTTACATGTTCTGAATAGTTTTGGCTAATTGTTTTTACGACCGGCCGCCTGCCTGACATCAACCCTCTTTGGGAATAAATATTATATATTTTGTATATATGTACTTATAAAATATATTCAATTACATAAGAATTAAATGTGAAACTTTAAGCCAATATTTTCTAAATGTTATTTAACCAGTTTTAAAACGTATCTAACAAATTTATACTAATACAATTTTTTCCTATGTTGTAAATGTTCGGGGATATACCTTGAGTTGCAAACATCAAATTAAGTCTACATTTTATGTTAATGTGAATACCTATTTTTTGAAGTCGATTGAGTAATTTCATAATACTAGTTCGGTTTGCCTATAAAAAATTTTTGTCTGACACAGTTATATTTTGTAGAGATGATTTCTAGAGAGGGATATATATATGTATATGGTAATGTAATAATAATTTCGGACATTCCCTGTTTAAAGACCGAGGTGTTTTTCAAAAATATGTATTTAAATCTGACCCAAAATGTTTCTTTAACAAGAAAGTAAGGAAATATTTACAGCCATTAAATTAAAAAGAGAATATATAGGTATTATATAATGAACATATAATTAACAAAAAATTGATTTTCATTACTGAACTTCTTTATATATACTAGATTCCCTTATATACTAATATTCCTTATATACGAATTCCCTTATATACCAATGACACAGATACTAGATTCGATATTATACTTATAGGTCTTCTATTATTTATATTTGGACCAAGTTTCTATTTTAATTAATTAATTTGACCATGCAAACTTGGACTAAGCAACCCTCTATAGTTAGGACCCTCTGTGTACATACGGTTTTTATATACATATAAATATATAAAGTTTTTCTTTTTTACATTTAGTTTCAACCTTATCAAGTCAAGCCTTTATTTGCATACGCATTCATTAAATGGAGCGTCGTATCATTTCTTTTTTAAATTTAATCTCTGAATATTTGCATATGATATGAATTAAGTACAAAGGAAGTTACCCTAAAAATATGTGTGTTTGGGTAATTTATTTCAATTAAGTTATTATATGGGAATGTTCATTATACAGTTTTTGTACTTGGATTTCGACATGGTTAAAGGTTTCTGTAGAAATATGAAAATGGAATATATCTTAGATATAAAAGTATTATATTATTTTGATACTTTTGACATACTAAATGTTCCTAAAGACTTTTTATTGAACAGTTTCTCTTGTACTTATGTGTTGACCATGACTTTAAAGAACGTTTGGTCTTTTTAATTTTAATCGTGTTTTTTTAATACATACTTGAATTTAATATAGATTGGAAAATAAATAAATTTGCTATGTAAAAGTTAATTGTTAAAGTAACTCTCACCGTTTGTGTCTATAAATAGTTTTATACCATTTTTTTTATCGTGGATTTTACATTTCCACTAAGGAACTTAGAAATTTAGAAATTTCTGTGTTTTCCTATTGAACATCGATGGAAAAAAATTCGTTTTTTGATTAGTATTAAGAATTAATTGATTATGTTAATATAAGTATTTTGACAAAAACGTGATTTTTCAATGAGTAATATTTATTTTTTCATGTTAAAAATAATCCAAACGCTGTCGAAATAACACTATACCTACTGTTTTACCTGTAGTACGGTCCGGGTGATAACGCCTTGTATGTGATAATTATTAATTAAGTATTTATTAATCATCTTTGTAATTAAAGTCGATACATAGATAAGAAATTGTTTTGGGAAGGTTTTTTCAACTAAAAATAGTACATAAAATTCACATATATATCGTCATCAGCCTATCAGAGCTCACTGCTGCTCAAAGGCCTCTTCTCACATGGAGAAGGTTTGAGCATTAATCACCACGCTTGCTCAAGACGGGTTGGTGATTTCAAACTTATAATTGTGAAACTATAAGTCCAGGTTTCCTCACGATGTTTTTCTTCACCGTCTGTCAGTGGTGTCTAAATACTCTCAGAAAGTACATATGACTCGGAAAAGTCACATTGGTACTTGCCAGGATCGAACCCGCGCCCTCGGTAACGAGAGGCGGGCCTTTAACCACTACTATACACACACATATATATATACAGGCCTAAAATAAGAAAAGTATTCACATATGTATATATATAACAGTGTGATAATGTATAATATATACAATCTACTATTTACATTTCAAATTACTTTTGAGACTGTTTCCACGCGAAATATGGCATACATTTAAGTGATAATATTTAATTACTCTATCTTATAAAAGTATTTGAGTAAACGCAATTAGAGTAAAAGTATGTATATATGTTTATATATGTATATGTGTGTGTGTTTGTGTGTGTGTGTATGTAACTGTTATCAATGAAACACTAGCTATAGATTGTTCACTGATAATTATCAATTTATTATGATAAAATATAGTCTGTTAGTCATGTTTTGTTATTTATACGTACTGAATTAAAATGCACGTGACGGTAATTTCACGTGAATGTAAGTCTCGTCTGCCCGTGATCACGGTTGCTGTAAAGTAACCGAAACGTCGGGAGTATGTAGTTTAAAATAATAAAAATCGTAGTACATCTGAATAAATTGGTTTTATTCAACTTATACCTATGTTTGAGACAACATTTTAGTCAATAATGAACTACATATATAATAATTCGTTCGTTAATGAATTTCATTTATAAAAGGTTATAGAATTTTTAGAGTAGTTTTTTTTTTCATCTACTTTTATAGAATTTATGTAACACTAGCTTTCCGCCCGCAGCTTCGCCCGCGTGGAATTCGGTTATATCGCGTTTCCAAGAGAACATTTCAAAAGTCTGGGATAAAAACTATCCTATGTTCTTTCTCAAGGTCAACTCTATCTCTGTACCAAATTTCATTAAAATCAGTTCAGTGGTTTAGGCGTGAAAGCGTAACAGACAGACAGACAGAGTTACTTTCGCATTTTTAATATTAGCAGGGATTTATTTTATTCTCGTGATACTTTATCCCGATAAAATTATTTTCTCTCAATAAATGTATTAAAATAAATTTTTATTTTATATAAGTATTCTTTTGAATGTTGTATATATATTTTATATGTACATTGCTATATTATTTGGAAAGTAATATACAAAGTATTTCTTTTTTTCGTCACACAATAAATTGCTTCGTAAATGTAATAGTTTTTATTTGTCACTGATATTAATATACCAAAGGTCCTTGTGTAAGCAACGAGTTATTACAGAGCAGGAAAATTGTAGGCTGTGTCTTCTTAACAAGGCCAAACGCGACGGGAATTATCTTATTAGTGTTAAGGGTACACAACTCATCTGTCCGTGATCACGGTTGCTGAAAAGTATCAGAAAAATCGGGAGTATGTAGTTTAAAAAAAAAATAAAGTCGCGTAATAATCCGAAAAAATATTAGTTTCATTCAAAAAAGGGTAATAACTTCAATGATAAATGAAAACTTAATCAAAATAAAGTCAAATTTAATTATTCTATAGGTACATCACTTAATAAATTGATTAACTACAATAAATAGTAGAATAATAATATGAATTTATTTGATATTCAAATGGGTTATATATTTCACAGACACATTAAAGTTTAATAATATTTTATATAAAATTATTAATTGAAATTGTATAAAATATGTACGACTAGCTTCGCCCGCGTGGAGTTCGGTTATATCGCGTTTCCAAGAGAACCTTTCAAAAATCTAGGATAAAAACTATCCTATGTTCTTTCTCAAGGTTAACTCTATCTGTGTACAGAATTTCATTAAAATCAGTTCAGTGGTTTAGGTGTGAAAGCGTAACAGACACACAGACAAACAGAGAGACAGAAATACTTTCGCATTTATAAGATTAGTAGAGATTACGTTTTTTGTTATATGTCTAAGTTATGCTCTGATAAAAAGATTTTGTTTAAAATTCCACGTAATTGTTAAAAAACAAAGATGTATTTTAATATACATTTTTTAACTATATAATATTTTTTTTCTCTTTTCAGACGGCAGCAACAAAGGGCAGTTTCTGGCAGGGTTTTCTGGCTGCTCTGTCCGTCGTGATTGTGTCAGAACTTGGAGATAAGACGTTCTTCATAGCTGCCATCATGGCTATGAAGCACCCAAGGGTTATAGTATTCGCTGGTGCTATATCAGCACTGGTATTCATGACGGTGCTATCAGCAGCATTCGGCTGGATAGCGACAGTCATACCCCGAATATACACTCATTATATAAGCGCAGCCCTATTCGCTATATTCGGCTTGAAGATGTTGAGGGACGGATGGAAGATGGACCCGAATGAAGGGCAGGAGGAATTGGATGAGGTCCAGAGCGAATTGAAGAGGAGAGAGGATCAGGTAATTCAATTGTTAAATCACTATAGCTAAGTCATTCTATACCGTATGTGATACAGTTTTTTACGGTACAGTTTTTTACGGTACAGTTTTTTATGATACAGTTTTTTACGGTACAGTTTTTTTGTGATACAGTTTTTTTATCTATTATCATATGGGATCAAGTACTATATATATGTATGTGTCATGCATTTAATCAGGGTTCATATTATATATATCTGATCAATCTTAAGTATCTATCAGTCTATATATCTATCAGTGTCCTAATCTTCTCGTACCAGGAGTCGGTACATGCATACTGATTGTTTTTCTATGTGTAATATCTGATTGTAGATAAAATCTATTAATATGATATGATAATACACACTCACACACACAGACACACATATATGTATATAATATGACGTCATAAAATTCTAAGCTAACATTTGATTAGGACTTATATACATAATTACATTATAATCTAAATCATTCAAAATCTTCATTTTAGTTATATTTTCTATGATAATAATTATGATAGTAAAAGATTTATAATTAATTCAATTAATTCATAATCTTATCGAAAAAATAATGCTTAATTCAGTAGGGATATTATTTATAATTTTTGTTTGTTATTTTTTTCCATATAAATGTAATTGGGTGCTATCTTTTTTTTTTAATTAATTTAATCTTTGAAATGTTATATTTATAGCAAATGTAATTATAGTAGAAAGACGAATAATAATTAGGGATTTTTCTTATAATAACGAATTCAAGGTAACTAGATTAAAATGATTTCCATATTACCTTCGCAGATATTTTTTTTCCACCACAGAAATTATGAAAAAGATGTTTTCTTTTTTAATATTTTTTAAGGTTTTAAGTACAATACTACGTTTTTTTATTCCTCTTTTCATTAATACTGGATTTTTTTATGAGTGTTAAAAACGTTTAGTTGTAGAGCCGAAATTAAGTAAAAAATAGATTAGGAAGTCTCATCTTTTTTATGAATTAAATCCAATATTAGTATTATTTTAATTTTAATAAAGAAAATTAAACTATATTACAGTCAAGCAAGACAAGAGCCAAGATTTATTATATTAAAAGCAAATGTTGAATTCCTTTTTAATGTCTAAACACTAGTTTCAGATAGCATAGTGTTTTTAATATTGCTTGCTAAATTATATTAGTTTCGAACGAGATAAATATTGGATTGATGTCGTAATGTATACAGGCCCCCAAAAAAGAGCCTTCGCCCGAAGATGGTACGGCATCAGAAAGGTCCCAAAGCCCGGGGCCCTCTAGGAGCCCCGAAGTAGAGGCCTCCGGGCCCCCAGTGGTGGCCGTGGAGCCTAAAGCGGGCCCCTCGGCAAAAACCGAATCGTTGAGGGTGATCTTACGTCATTATGCCTGGCAGTACGAATGACACATTAGTTCTTTTCTTTTTGGTTACTTTTAGCTTAGCGTATTTATAATTTTTTGTTCGTATTAGGCCATGCACAGATCACATCACCTACCGCCATAGCTTTTTATATTGTTGTAAAGGAATTCAGCATTTGATAATACAATGTAAAGTCATCGTTTGACAATATAATTATTAATTTATATAAATATTAAATCAAACTGAAGCTGTTGTTTACTGTTATGCGCTTGTGTTGTTATATGAATTGCATTTTAGTTATAATATCATCCTTTATGTATAATTAAGTATGATGTACTTCATTTTTTTTATGTAGTACAATGTACTTCATTTGGTTGTGAAGTATAATGTACTTCATTTCTGCATAGAAACTCAACGTATTTACGATATAAGCGTAAGCCATACGTATATAAAGTATAAATGTATGTTTTGTCATATATAAATATAAATATCACGATTTCTTTTACTTTAGTGCATTATTATCATTTAATTGTATATATATGATTTGTTCATTTTTCATGTATGTGCTTAGCATGTAGATTATAATAACATAGCCTTACTTAGTATAGTTTTTAAGATAAAATAATATATGTATATAAGATGAATAAATTAAAATTTAATCTTCTAGGAGGATAAAGAAGAAACTGTAGATATGTTGGAGCAGGGTCAAGCTGAGAATAGAAGGAAGAGAAGGAATGCTATATTGAAGATTCTTCTACAAGCTGCTAGTTTGACGTTCTTAGCTGAATGGGGCGATAGGTCCCAATTAGCGACTGTGGTGTTAGCATCAAGGGAAGACGCGGTAGGAGTGGTTGTGGGGGGCTCCCTAGGTCACGCTCTATGTACCGGACTAGCTGTTATAGGGGGGAGAATGGTTGCGCAGAAGATATCAGTCAGAACTGGTGAGTTATCTTCGTTGATATTATAGTAGCAATTCGATATATTGCCCATTATAAATGACCCATCCCTACTAATATTATAAATGCGAAAGTAACTCTGTCTGTCCATTTGTCTGGTACGCTTTCACGCCTAAACCACTGAACTGATTTTAATGAAATTTGGTACAGACATAGAGTTGACCTTGAGAAGGACATAGGATAGTTTTTATCCCAAACTTTTGAAAGGTTCTCTTGGAAATGCGATATAACCGAAATCCACGTCGGCGAAGCTGCGGGCGGAAAGCTAGTAATATATATGTATATGTCACTCATTGTTGTAACTGCACTTGCACATGGGTTTAGATTGTTATGCAAGTCAATAAAAAGTATTCTCTTTATAGGTGTAAATAATATAAGCTTTGTTTCAACACTGTTGTCTTTTAGCGTACATTTTAATCACATACATAATATGTAATCTCTTAATCATTCCTTTGTTATAAAATGACACATGCAAATATTAGCTCTACGATCAGAAGAGATTTGAATGGAATTTTTGTTTTATAAAAATAGACAATTTTATATAGAATTGTTTGAATAAATATAATATATATGTAACTTAATTGATATATTATTATTTAGAAAATCATTATTATATTTCTTTATAAAACCATTTATATATTTAGGATTCTAACACAATCATTAAAATATATAGCTGTCTAATAAAGCCATTACTTTTCAATAATTAATCAAACCTTAGTCAGAACAAACTTATTATTATTATCTTAAACCAAAACACCTCAAATAAGTTAAATTCAATTTACAAAAACGCAAATTGCAATGACAGTTACTTTCCCGCGTAAAATTGAACAAACCAAATGTCATTTCTTTAACGTCACTTAGAGTGCGTTCGGGTTTTAAAGTTCCGTTCAAATTAAATGTGTTTTTTAATAATATTTTTTTGTATTTTCTTTCCAGTTACAATAATCGGTGGTCTAGTGTTCCTGTTCTTCGCAGTCGGTGCCCTCATCATGGGTCCCGGTGAATGAGGATTATTATATAAGCGACAATATTAACATATATATTGTATATAGATGTATATTTATATATTTTTTGTTAATTTTTCTACGACCTTCCATGTACAGCCAAACCTTTGCATTTAATAAAAACTATTTTTAACAGATTTGATTTTATTTATAAACCCGTCGCCTAAATCTGTTAAGAATGGTTATATTTGGTTACCGTCAATTAATAATGCCTTCAGTAATGTAAGGATTCAATTGAAATGATACAGATTAAAAATAAAATAATGTAATCTCACCTTTTTTTATACGCTGTTAAAAAAATATTATGTCAATAAAATTTGACGTCAATGGAATAATGAAGAGATGTTAAAATAATTACTACAGTTACAATTAACTATAGATTTGTAACGAAAGTATATATTATGGATAATTATAAATTATTTTCTATATGATCAAAAATTCCGAATAAATGACCCGTAATTTTTTTTACGTTAAGTATTTTATATCAGATGACGTAGTTTTAATTGATTAAGATGTAATTTGTGTTTTTTCTTAATTTAATCTGCCTATGTTTCTGTTGAAATGTTGTTGCGTGTTTTTATGGAAAAAAAACCCTTGACAGTGACATTGACGGGTGTCAGTGAACTTGACACTGACAGATTAGCGAATTTGACATTGACGGATGAAATAATATTTAGAATAACATTTAGTAAATTATTAAAATAAAAAATGCTTTAGTAAAATGTTTAAAACCATAGTAGTGCTAGTAAGTCATTTGGTGTATGTAACATTTTGTTATATATGTGAAAATAAATTTAGAATTTCTGTCAGAAATGTGCCTTTCTCGATGTTATAAATTACGACGAAGACGAACGCACAAATGGACATATTTTTTTTATATTATAATAAAATTTGTCTGAATTTGAACAAATTGATTTTTTTAATGCAAATCGAGATTATAATATTTTTAAACATATGTATTGTCGAATATCGTATAATGCGAGTATTATTGTCAGAAAAAACATTGAAACTAAGTTTTTATTATTGAAATGATTCTAAATTAATTTGTTCTATGTAAAGTACTAAGCTTGTGTTACTATATAAAACAATTCTTACCATTTGTTCCAGTGATATATGTATTTGTAAGTATGTCTGTTTGTAAGTTGTGTAAATTTAAGTACAAATAATAATGAGAACACTCTGTATAGCGCTTAGCTGTTGAATTGTAAAAAGTATTATTTTATGAAGAAAAAAATTGATTAAAACCTTTTTTGTTGGAGTTTTATTTCTGTGAAATTTATTCTAATTTGTTATTAAAGCGAATTTAAGTACAACGAATTAAATATATGTAGTGAAATTACATATAAAAGAAGGTCTATTAATCGACAAAAATATTTTCTATACAAGTTTTTAGATTTAATTATTTTGTATTAATGTTGAACATTAACTCAAAATTCGAAATATTATACGTATTGGAGTAGGTATACCCCATTAAAATTTAAAAAGTATGACGTCAGAGTTAGGTTAAAGTCAAGCTTGCATGATGTTAATGGTAAACCCGTAAATACTTTAACGAGCCTTTATTTCGACGAAGTCCGAGCTCTAACGGCTCGAGCGAGAATGTTTTTAATCTGTACCCTCGCCTCTATTTATACCAACTAGTAGTGTTTCCTAACCTTTTTCTAGGCCTTACCCCATCCTAACATTTCGGGCACCCGCACGGTGAATCCATTAAATGCTAAGAGGTTTCGTCTCTTACTTGATTACTTGAAGCAGTGCCTCTAGAACACGAACATAAGCATAGTTTTCACACCTATGCAAATATTTTCTTGCATACAATACAAGCTCTGTATATCGTCCTTGATAATATTTGTATGGAGAATATGCACCGAGTAGTTCTGCCTACCGCCGCTTTGGCTAGGAGGTGGCGCTAGCCGCTAGTAGCGAACGATTGAAATTGTTTCTTTTGACATTGACAGATGTCACATTAAATGTTTTACCAAATCATTAATCTTATTATGTCATTTTTAATAAAGAATGATTAAAAGTATTCAGGCAAAGTTCAACGATGAGAGTTTTGTTGATAAATAAAAGTTTTTTAGTTTTTCCAACGAATTGTAGTTACTTTGATTTTCTGTTCTCTAAACGTTTCTCTGAAGATAAATTAGTTGATATTTCTTTAAGTAAGATTTTGTTTATATTTATTGCTTAGAAAGTAGCCATAATAGTTTTTATATACAACGTAACATTCTTGACACAAAATTTCTGGGTTCATAATAAAAATTACTTAAAATGTTTTGACAGTTTGTTTTTAATAAACTGAAAACCAAATGAGGATCTAAAACGTCTTAAACCTATATTTTCATCTTGTTTTATCTTTTTTTTAATTTTATTGACATATATAAAAAATACTCCTGGAAATAACTATACACAAAAAGTCTTTGAAAAGTGAAATACAAAAAAGTATAGTAGGATTTGAAACATACATCTTTTAAAGTATATTAAATAAAATAATCGACAAGATAAGTAATATTTATAGAATATATTTTGTAAAACTATGTTTTATTAAAACAATCTTGAATTACTAACTTTATTTCAATGAATAAAGATATAGAATCAAAAATCCGTCCATATAGGAACGATAGCTTATTTGATAAAACAATTGAAACACAATACTTGAGAGTCTTCAAGAAGAAGAAGACTTTTTTATTTTCACTCGTGTTTACGAATTTTCAATAAATATAATTTAAATGTTTAATTAAAAAAGGCGTGCATAGTATATTCTGCCAGTATCATAAATTTATAATTCTAGAAATGTCTTGAAAATCAAACAACAGAGGTAGGTGGCAAAATTTTTAATTTGCATTTCAAAATGTAATTTATCTTACCTACGCCTAGTGGGATGTCATCCCTAAGCTATCTACGGAAAAACACTTAAGTTTATTATAGCTCGTTTGAGCGATCATTTGTTATGAATGTGTCAATCAAATTATTAATGTCTTACATAAAATAGAAAAAAAATTATTATTGAATGACGTTTTAAATTTTATTAAGTATATTGTTTTAAAGAAAGATTGTTGCACAATGAATAGATGCTGTCAATGTCATGGCCATTAAAAAAATATTTTGCTGTTATAATGAAAATAAACTAAATTACAACATTTTAGGTATAAAGGCTTCCGCAACGAAATTCTCAGTTCATATTTATGAATAGAGATGTCAAACCCAATTTTCCGAACGGCATTTTTATTGATTTTGTTGAAGAAAACAAAACGAATTAATAATTGTAACAAAAACATAACTATACTACACTTTACCCTGATGATAGTGTATTTGCGTCGTACGCTTAAATAAGTGCTACGTCGTATGACATCATCTAAATATACATTCTTAACGAAACATTTTAAAATCTAGAATCTTAAATAAATAAATACTTTGACAGAAAAAAATCGAGAATCGAGTAATTAAATTGCATTGATATTTCAATCTTCAATTGTTGTATTTATTTACCTACTTTGATGTATTTATAACCGTCATTTTGGTTTAGCAGATAAATTTAAGGCCTCTGTATTTCACGTATGATCTTAATTTCTGGCCGTAAGTTATCCTAAACGAATTAAAATTATTTTTTAATTCGATATAAAGACGTCTTAATATACGTAAGATTTTGCTCAAAGCAAATAATGAATGCCACTACGTGGTAATTTTGGCTTTCCATAATCTTCTAAATTCAGTTTATGTTTTAACAATGCTATTTTAGTGACATTTATTATGTTTAAACAAAACAATTGAGATATAAATCGTCGTATTATAAATTACTATTAAACTATTTGCTACTTGTAATAAATTGTTTAATATTATAGTCTACATGTGGTATAATTTTTCTGTCTATTTAAATGGTTATGACAGTTTTTTTCGCAATAATTTTTGCCTCATCACTTCTACATTAGTTATGTGGGGGCTGGACATAACTTGATATCAAGCAATTTTTTTTGTGAATGTTAATGGAAAGGGAAATTTGATTTATACTATAATTTGCCGGTAACAAGAGGAAATAGACTACAAATAATACAGACAAAGTCACGCTATACCTACTAACTACAGTGCTGTATCAATTCTATGCTAAACTTATTGCTATGTTAAGTACTAATTATACTTATTGTGAAATACCTAAATGACTAATATAACCTAAACGTCTGTTGCTATTTTTTTTACTGTATCTTCCAATTTCACATATTATTTTTAATTGACTAAGCATACTTTAATTTTGATGTCAAATATCCAACGAAAAACGTAAGCTTTTACCTGAGAGGAAGAAAGCAGAAATCTATTTATTTAGAACTTTCAGTAAATGAGAGAGATATTTTAGTTACAATAAATGGAATTAAACATTAATTTTTCTATCGAATCTGATTCTACTTGATAAATTTTATGGCAAAAGTATACTTTATATCAATTTTAACATGGAGCTGTATTAAAGTTTGCTTCTAAATACTTCATAAGATTGTAAGGCGATTTCATGAAAAGCATTCCGTATATCAACTAGCAGAATTTCTTTGGCTTAACATTTACTACGAATACTTAATCAATTTGATACTCCGTTATATATAGAGGAAATACTAATATTAATAACAGCGCGAGTAATTAAAACTATTCCATCATATTATACCTATAAGCCTTAAGTCCTTCTTAAAATTTCTGACCACGAAATGGATATACACGATGTAACAATAGGTAATAAATAAATTAGAGTTTCTGGTTATTATTAAAAATATGGAAAGCAAGTATCAATCGACAACGTCCATTTTGAATGTGTTAGGATTGTGACCGATGGGTTTCATTGAGAGACGTATGCCGGTTCCAGTTGAATATTTCGCGTTCAAAATCTCATCATCACTACTCGAGTCTTCATATCGGTCGTTGGCTCGAACCTGACTCTCTGAATCAGAAGACTGAAAAAAAAATACATAATATCAATAATAATTATAACTAAATGTATTTTCTAATTGTCTGCTATGCAAAAAGTTTATTTAAGTAATATTTTTTACGATGAGATAAAAATATAGCTAATGTACTACTATACATTCTACAGGTTAGAATAAGCATTTCAGGTAAAGCAAAACATAATCATATTATTAAGCATGCAACCTGGAAAAGAAAGATCAAACAAAATATTAAAAAACGATAAAATATTTGAAATACCGGAACCGTTGATGTTCATAAACAAATTAAAAAATAATTATCGACAGCAAATTAATAATAACATTTAACAAACATTTATTTCTTCGGTCTTCGCACGATGCTTGTTGGCAGACGAGTTGGCCTCTCATCACTGCTGTCCACGCCCTATGATATTTACAGATTACAGTTAAAGCTATTTATATGCATTATTCTCCTTTAATGTCCAAAAAATATTTCCCAAACAATATAAGAATTATTGAAAAACAAATCGATCAGTATTACTAAATATGTATTACCAAATAGCAGTTACATTATCTTTCATCAAAATTATGGACATCAATTTATTTGATTGTAGAGGTATTAATATATAACTACCCCCAAAAAACACTACCCCTTACATCAAAGTCTCCGATGGTGAATCTTGCGGCATCAGGCAGCAACTGGGACGGCGGCACACTCTCTGGAGACAAAACCTAACCACACACGCCCATGTGTTAGTTACATATATACAATGATAACGTGAGAGAATTACTAACGAATGTACTAATAAAATAATTATTTATTATTTGTTATACTACATCCAAGTTAAAACATCTCCAATTATACCACGTCATCATCAAGATTAGTCATTTTAGCGTAAATGTTATAATTAGTAGCATGAGAATTAAATACTATTCAAGCATAGATACAACTATGGTATGAATTATTAATGCTCTGGTGTTAAGAAAACAACATACCAACCTTGAAATAGTTCTACAAACAGTTCAAAGATGTCACAGTAATAAAATTACATTTGTTTTTAACCAAATTCCTCCTCACATACAATATATTAACGTTGTTATGTACATCTATATGTACTTGTTATGGGTCAAGTGATTTATGCGGACAGTATTCATAATGCCTAGCTATATCGGGTATTGCTTATAATCACATTGCCTGCTTAAGTGATTTATCAGGCACTGTGAAATGACCGATTTAGCACTTTTCATAACACATATATTAAAAAAATTGCCTTTGATAACATTGGAAAACAGCATGAGATTTTTACATGATCTGAATAGTTTTTCCACGCTTATATCAAAAATATATGCAATTTTTATGTAGCAGCTCTAGTTTTGGAGTTATGAAAAGACAGGTCACAGGGTTTTTCATTATAATCTAATTTTGATTGGTATTCTTTAATAAATATTAAATATATCTTACATCTTGATCGCTCATCATCTCCTTGGTAGAGACGGTGGTTTCGATTCTCCTGATGGAGCCCTGGTGGATGTCTACATCCAGAGCCAGGCATTGGAACCGTCTGAGGAGTAGCACTACCGGGATGGGAAGGATCCCAGCTAGTATCATAGCTACTGCGATGAACAGCACCCACGGAGGGTAAGGGGTCTTCTCCACACGACCCTGGAATAGTATACCCATATTATAGCTACAAGTTTCCTTTTGTTTTTCTCAATTAAGTTGAATAGAAGAAGTTATAACTACTACATAGTTTTCTTTTGTTTTCTCAATTAAGTTATGTTGATTTGTAAAAGTCAAGATATTTTAATATAAAATGCAGAAACTGGTGTATGATTGTGATTAAGTAAATTATATAAAAATATGTTGTATACAATTAATTATACTTAATGATATTTAAATGACTTCTTTATTTGGTCTTAATTTGATGATTGCGAAAAAAAGGTATAGTTTTTGTGTGTCGTAAAATTTCACGTGTGACTTGTGCTTTGATACTACATATTTTAAACCTGATTTTCTTAGAAAATATTACAGTTCAACATCACCAAGCCTACCTATAACTGAACTTTAGGCTAGAAATATACAAATTAGTCTCCTTATTAAGGATAAACGAAGCATTTATTCAGAATTTTCTAACGCAATACAATAAAACTAGTATAAACTGACCTCCTCAGCGTTCCAAGCTCCATACATTGGCGGGTTCAACAGCATGAAGATCAAAGAAGACATCAGGATGCATGACACTATGACCGGTCCGATGTAACGCCAGGTTATTTGCCAGTACCAACCTGGACGGTAGCCGGTCATCTCATAGATGTCATTAGTAAACCTGACAGAAAATTGGACAATGGAGGAATTAATATATGTTCCATAACTAGCTTTCCGCCCACAGCTTCGTCCGCATGGAGTTCGGTTATATCGCGTTTCCAAAAGAACCTTTTAAAAGTCTTGAGATAAAAACTATCTAACTAATCCTAATATTCGCCTATTACGTATCGTTCTTTAATATCCTCAATCAAAAAATCCATCAATTGTGCACGTCAGTTTTTTAGTTAATTATTGCACCGTTGCTTTACCAGTACTCAGTGTTCGAAGTTTTGAAAAAAATAAGTGGCTCTCGTTATTTCAATACCTACTAAATTAAAAATAAGCATTTTATTATATTAAACACGCGATGAACGTACTATTTAATACAATATAAAATGTACAAGAACAATATCAGGCCAGTTTATTATGGGACCCGCTATATACCATTGTAATATTATGATGTATGAGATTTTCTTCTTCTTACTAATGAAGGATTAGTTTGGAAACGATTTCATATATTCTTAACTATATATTAATACATCAAATAAGACTGAATTCATTTTTAACAATACTCATAGGCCAGAAGAATAAGTATTATGATATACTTATAGAATTCAACTAAGCTAAGGTTAATACAAAGAGAAAAAATACCAGAAAGTAACATTCGATTTTGGGACTCTTTGTATAAAATGGAATCGTTCGTCATTTTTTTTATATTTAAGTTATTCTTCTCAATATATCATATTATCGTTAATGTCATTAATATTTCTCAATAGTACACACCTCTCATGTCCGTATATGTATATAACGGAAACCATTTCTAGCAGCGCCACAACAACCAGGCCGATGGTACCAGCGAATGAATCGAACATCTTGAGCCAGTATTCGCCAGCTCCCGTCGTGAAGATGAGACCCACGAAGAAACATAGCGTGCAAACAGCGCCTGGAGATATAACTAGTATAAATGAAACTAATAAAACACGATTAATAATCCGAAAAAATTATTAGTTTCATTTCAATGAATACGAAAGTCTTAGGTCTCAGAAATAGTACGTTTTGGACTTGTATTGTACTAATAGTTGTTGTATGACAGACCCTGGTTAAAGCTGGGAAATTGCCAGGAAGAAGAAGGACTTGTATTGTAAATTATGTAAAATAAGTTTAACTTCATCATATAAATTCATCATGCTAGAAAACAGACTTGGAAAAAAAATATATCAATCAATAATTTTGTATCTATTAATTTATTTTACGTAACTTCATATTTATATTTTAGATGTCAGTCAAAGGAATCTTTAAACTTACCAGTGATAGTGGGTTTGCTGAATCTTTTGAAGAAATCAATATCGAAGATGGTGCACAACATGCCTTCCATGATGCCGATCTGACTTCCAAGACCCAGAGACAGCAGCATCAAGAAGAATATTATGGACCAGAAAGGAGCCGGTGTCAGCTTGAGAATCGCTTGCGTGAAAACTATGAACGCTAAACCAGTTCCTTCAGCAGCCTGATGAAGATATATTAGTTGGAATACACGACTAGATAGAAAACAAAATCACATACCCTTAGTGGAAGTTGAAACTTACACAGAAATAAATGAATTAGTCATAAATTAATTGATCTTTTATCAATGAAAATGAGCATAGGCATTATGGGTACTTTATGCATTTACCAATCTATGGCTATTGGAGTTAATAATAGTTAATTTTTTTTGGGGAACTATAAATCTCTAATGTATATGAAGAAAAACTATTCTTTTATATTAATTGATCAATATTACCTCATCCAACTGTTTGCTCATCGTACAGCCGGTCAGGTTGAGAGCGGTTGTAATGTTAGCTCCGAGCTGAGGGTAATGTTCCTCATAGAACTCCTGGCTGGAGTTCAGTGTGAACCCACCGATATGATGCAGCGCCAGCACTTTGATCTCCCTGGAAATAATTCATTTGTATATATAATATATATATCGCCGCTACCAGCTTTAATAACGAATGCGACATGAAAATAATTTGAGGCTGTCATCAATTCTTATTAAACCTCATTAGTATTTATGATTATTGTTAAAAGTAAAACGAAATCAAAGGAGAATAGAACTATGTTTGAATCTTGTTATAAATATGACGTCTGGATGCACATCGGCGGACTCCAGGATTGATAATTCAGAGTTCAGTGAGCGTGTATCATAAAAGCATGTTACTATGAAGATCCTTCGAGAAATACAGGAGCATTAAGAACAATTGAAGTTACATTTTAAAACATCATGGAACTCTCTAGAAGAAGTGACATTTGTAACGTCAGCGAGGCTGGCGTCTCTCTCTCTTTAAAAATAACGAATGTGTAATAAATCCGATATATACATATATACTACTAAGACAATACGGTCATCTTATTTTTATTGAAGTGAAAATTCTTATGCAACTTTCAACGAGGTTGCGTTAAATGTTTTACGCTTCTGGCGGGAGGGGATAAAAGAAATAGCGAGAGGGAATGTGTGGAGCTCGAACGCTTCCGGGCAATCAATTGTGAAATGTAAGTAATGTTAATAAAATTTGTCTTAAAAGAAAACTAATAATTACATAAAAATCAATTTCTACGACTTTCTGTTTTTATCCCAACGTTACGAAGTTTCACTTCTTCCACGCGGAGGGACTCCACGTATGGTACGTGTACGTAATTATTTTATTTTATAATTTTTGATGGTCCTACCCGTTAACTTTAATATTTAAATAAATGTTCATACATGCTTATATATTTAATTATAATGAGATGAGATTTTTTATACTACTTAATATTATTATTATTTTATTTGGGATACTAATAGCAAAAGTTTTAACAATTATCGTAAATGGCGTATAAATATCAGTGTTACACTAAAATACATAGCTTACATAATCTATGCTTCATGTAATTTAAATACTATCGGTGTAAATACTATGAAACTCAATAGTTCCATAAATAATTGCAACAAAGGGCCATGAATCGTATTTGACTTATTAATTGATACCAAGAAATTATTGTTTACAACTGTCGATTGTTTTAAAATAGGGACAATTAATATCATGTGATGTATGTAGCTATGTTCAACAAAGAATTATGTACAAATATGTATGGAAATAAATATTTTTCTTTAGTATAGATATATTTGCATAAGTTAGTCTGTACGTAAAAAAAATAATTTGTTTGAATTTTTCAGTTGTACTCAAATAAGTATAAAGATTACATTATATACGAAGAAATTGATGTTCTATAGTATTACTATTATATAATATATATTTTTACTTATACAGGGTGACTGGTGAATTACTATCAATATTTAAGGAGAATACTCGGTACATGATTCTCATTCGAATTATGTAAAAAAATAGGCACTTAATTTTTGACAAAATTTCCGTATAAATAAATAAAGTGTTGACACGTTCCAAGTGTTAAAGTGTGGACGGGTGCGGCGGCGTGCTGATACAACACTACGTCACGACACGCGTATGTGTGAGTGTGTGTGTATACCTAATCTGTAGGGTGCTCACATGATGCGTAATTAATTACATAACTTTTGGTTAACTTTACATAGTAGTTTATTAATATTTATGTTATATTAATTTTTATTCTGTCATATATGATCGTCATATATCACGTCCTCAAATATTGATAGTAATTGGGTTTTTGAAAAAAAAAAAAGTATTGATTTTTTTTATGTATTTTAAAACTTTATTATTAATTATATTGGATTTTTAATGCAAAAAACTTGAAATATATTTTTTAAATTAATTATAAACAATTAAAAATTGATAAAATTCAAAAATATATCACGTGACTGTAAACGCGCCATGATTGGTCAGCATACTTGTGACGTCATAATGTTAAAGCAATTTCATAATAGTACAGTGTTTATGGCTATTATCTTTAACTTGATAAAAATATCTCAAATTTATTAGTGAAAAACGATTTGAAAAGTTTATTTCGACTATGTGTGATAAAGGATTTATAAAAGCAAAATCGGATAATATTCCTGATGTTAATATATTTTTATGATAACTAATTTTTTAAAAAGTGCGGTTTAATTTTGCTGAAGTTCGAGGTGCTAAGACATCAAGGTAAGTCTGTCAAAAAATACTATTCTAAATGAAAATTAGTATTTATTCTCTATTAAATATAATTAATAATTATTTCATTAAATCATTATTATTAATAAAATGTTATTATAACATAAAAAAACCAAAATAACATATATGTACTTTAAAAATTTAAATGTAGTCTGATACAGAACCTAGAATGTTATAAAATTATGAAAATATCTATTAATTGAAGTCCAATTATTAGACAAACATATATATAGATTTACTATTTAATCGCTTTGAATTATCAATTAAAATTTTTTATGCTACGATTCTAAAGGTTATGATTTGGAGCCCAGGTAAAAAAATTAATTATTGAACTATACTTATTCGATTTATACACTTAGATAAATAATAATTAATAACAATACTATTATGAAAACTTACAACGAAATGATCTTCACAACAAAAAAAAATGATTTTGTTTTTGAATAATCTCGATGCACTGCTTGAAACCATTTCTTTCGACGTTTTTCGTCTTGTGGAACATTTAAAAACATTTTTTCAGGAGTTGTTTTTGTAGTCTTTGTACATAATGGTACAAAACTTTTGATTATTTAACAATGCCAACAGAATTTACTAGATAAAAACTCAAAACACTGTACTAATTATTATATCTCTGTATGCTACAATGAGCAAAAACTAACATTGTGACGTCACACGCGCTCGGGTTTATTCACGAGCTGTCGGCTTGTCTTCGGTACTGAATTTAAAATTTAATTTTTATTTTGAAATAACTTTTTAAATATTGCAAAAAAAAAATAAAATAAAAATAGTTTTATTATTAAACTTATATATGATCTTTCCATTTATCACAAAAAAAAAAAATAATTCAAAAACCCAATTCACCAGTCACCCTGTATATTATACATATAATTGTAATATAAATATCTTTTATTTAATTCTTGAACATAATTATGTATGAGATAGTACTTCTTTACAGTTTTGAAGACGAAATGTATGTATGTAGATATATTCAACAAAAGAAATTAACATTCATTACATACTGTATAAATTCTAGTAGAAGAAACGTTATCTCATTTTTGTTATTAAACAGAAAATACTAAATCAAAATTAATATGTATATTTATAAACTTACTTGCTGACGCATTTCTCCACCATAGTGTAGGCTTTGAATCCGAGGATGCTGAATATAACGACGGAGGCGTATATAGCTGTGAGCGCGTTACACACCGACACGAGCAGGACGTCGCGCACACAGTTGTTGTTCGGTGTATTGTACGAACCGAACGCTATCAACGAACCGAACGCGAGCCCGAACGAATAGAACACCTGGGTGGCTGCGTCCAACCATACTGTAGGGTCTAAGAGCTTTGCGAGCTGAAACAAATATATTCGTATATGTTTTCATATAATATAATAATAGTACAAAAATATACATATTATAACGAGCTAAATTATATAAAATTCAAAGCCTTGTACATTAATGCTTATTTATATTTATATATTTAAATTTCAATACTCATAAGAAAGAGATTAATTTTGATTATCGTCAATTTATCATTCGTCACAAAATACCAGGTAACTCTTTACTTCTAAAATATTTAAAAAATATATAAATGTCACTGCCAAATACAATTTAATTTGACACATGACACATTATTGAATGTCATAATTATAATAATTTTTAAATGATAACACTGTATAAAGGGTATGAAATTAATAATAATAATTAAATATATGCCTTCATTTTATATCAATTTTAATTCGTCCAATAAATAAAACTTTGAAATTGGCAGAATATTCTACGATTCCAGTGCAAATGAAGACAGTATAAAAAATATGACCCTACATTTATTACTGATGCTTTGATTTGTTCATACTTCTTAAATATTCAAAGAAGATAATTGGTATGTCGTAAAATATATTCAGATGTATTATTAGTAATATGTTACCTTTGGTTTATACATATGTATAACGCCGTCAGCTGATCCGGGTAAAGTAATACCGCGTACAAAAAATATTGTCAGCACAACGTAAGGGAATAATGAGGTGAAGTATACCACCTGGAAAAAAAAAATCCTTAAGTATAGTTTTATATCTTTCTATATTATAAAGAAGTTTTAGAATATAATTATGGAAGTCTTGAAAAATATTTAAAAACCTGAACACATTTAATATTTCCACAAATAATATTATATCTTAAATATAATATATTGAACCTTTTTTTATACTTATGATAAATATTTGTGAAATCAATTCAAAAGTATACTTATATTTATCGAAGTTGATGACCCAAAAAGGAATCTTATTAATATTATTAAACTAACATAAATTCAAGAAGAATTATAAACATAATTTATTTCAAGCTATAAGAAGAATCTATATATCTTCCAATTGCTAAGAAGATTTTCCACTGATTTGTTAAAAAACGAATGTATATATGGGCGCGGTTGTGAATTCCGAATTTTATTAATTATATTTTTAAACTGTATATTCTCATTCTTTAATTTTACTTCAATTTGTAAACACTTTATGCTACTCTCATTTATACATTATTAAAATCACTTGATACTATCTTTAAAAGGGCAAATAATCTTAGTGGGGATTCATGTGATTAGTGTCTTTAAGTTTTAATAGAAATCTGTTACTGTAAATTCTATAGTATTATTTCTAAAGCAATCTATAAAGATAATACATAAATACAAACCTTGCCACTGCTTTGAATACCCTTCATCACTATGAAGAACACAATAACCCATGCTAGCAGCAAATATAAGACTATCCACCATCTAGGTACTCCAGGCTCCTCAATACTAGGTGCTGCATCAAGTGCCTCTCTGTACCAGTAGTATACAGTCGCTGAAGCCTTGCTGCATTCCGCCTCAGCAGTGCCGTTGTCTTGAGGGCAATGCGCCCAAGGCAGCTGGTCGGCGCTAAGCTGTCGAATACGGTGTTAGATGTAGGCTTTGATATAGAAAACTAGTTTGTTTTTTTGGCGAAAGAATGTTTTATTTTATATGGCAAAGAATTGTACGTAAAAATCATTTAAAAACTATTTTTTCTGATCAAATTGTATAGAAATTACAATAATATATTTCTATTAAGTTTGGTTTAAAAATGTATTGACAATACCATATATATAACAAATAGAATAAAAATAACTAACAAAACAACAATACTATTCGCATCAAATCTTGACGTTAAAAATTCTTACAATAAGTTCTTATCCACACTACACACGGAGCGTCAATAGTTAGTGTTATATAGTTAATGAATTAGAAATGAGAAACTCTTATCATCATCAGCCTATCAGAGCCCACTGCTGGGAGGCCTCTTCTCACATGGAGAAGGTTTGAGCATTAATCACCACGCTTGCTCAACACGGGTTAATGATTTCAAACTTATAATTGTGAACTTATAAGTCCAGGTTTCCTCACGATGTTTTCCTTCATCTGTCAGTGGTGTCTAAATACTCTTAGAAAGTACATATGACTCGGAAAAATCACATTGGTACTTGCCCGGGCCAGGATCGAACCCGCGCCCTCATACATGAGAGGCGGGCCCTTTAACCACTAGGCTACCACTGACTATTTTATGCATAAAATGTATATTTTCAGTACACATAAATCTTTTACATCATTCAGTTAGTACAATAAAGTACATATGACTCGGAAAAATAACATTTTTATTTGCCAGGATCAAACCCGCACCACAATCTCATGTCATATAGTATGATACAAACTTGTATTACTTGTACAAAACATTTCAACTCACCCTAATACTATTGAACAGATAGAAGAAGACCCATGTAATGATGACATTGTAATATAATGCCACGAACAGAGTGACGACACAGCTAGCTATACCGATACCGCCGAGCCAAGGGTGAATAGTGTTCCACACGCCCAAAGAACCCAACCTCATCTTCTGACCGATGGCCATCTCAATGAGGAATAGCGGTATACCTTCCAGCACCAACATGATGAGGAACGGAATGAGGAAAGCACCTGAAACAATTCATCTTTATATAAAATGATTAATTTATAATGAAATATAAATGACTTTTTGATTATTTTAACGATGTTATCATAAATTAGATTTTAGCCGACAGTAAAATTAATGTATTGACTTAAATTCTTTAAGTAGACTTCTCTTATCAACATCTTATATAGAAATTAAAATAACTTTGAAGATTTATTTAAGAAAACAATGTCAAAGGTTTTTAATAAAACTTTAAAATTATAAAGTTATATTGACTGAATTTTCGTTTGTTAACTGAAACAGAACCAATACTTTAGGGAAACATAAAAAAAAAATAAAAGTAAAAAAAGATCTTATTAGTAAAGTATAGAAAAATAAAATATTCTCTACATTTGTTTACATTTGGCTGCGTTAATAAGACATAAAGTTCGCTCATAAGTGTCGGCTTTATAAACTTTTTCTTTATTGATGCAATAAAATATTAATAGCTGTGACGTCAGCGCGTCATGAAAAATTATCATAGAATTTTAGTGACGTCATCATGTACAAATTATCAGAGTTGAAGTGACGTCATCATATAGTTGCTGATAGTACAAATACCCATAGCATTGGATAAAACCTCGTATCAACAAAAGAAGCAGGTTTATACTTTTAAGGGGAAAGTGTATTAATATTTATCAAAATTATTTCAGACTAAGTAATTATTGATGAGTTTAATTTATTACTAATCGTTGAAAAATAACATTGGAAGAAATGAAAATTAGATAAACATAAAGTTTTAAACTTCCTCTGTCAATTTGTATGAATTATTAAAGAATTCACACAGTATTTCAAATTTATTTCAAATTAAGTTATACGTGGAAATTTTATTTGGATTCTCTTCAGGTTAATATTGATAAATTATTTCATGCAATCGTTAATTGTAATATTTCGCAAAGCAAATGTATTTTACTATCACAAGTAAATGTTATAGATTCCAACAAAATCGTACAATAGGTAAGTTAAAATGCTTTTATCAATATGGAATATAGGTCAGGGAGTAAAGACATGTTTTGACCTATGTAAAAAATATATTTGTTGTGTACCTTATTACAGGTATAACTCTTAGTTATAATAATTAATTTGGGTATTTAGATATTTTTTCCTTATGACTAATTCAAAGTACAACATCAAAAAATATTTATTATTTATTAGGATATTATATAAGTTAAGTTGACGTTATTAAGTAATCCATGTATAGTAATTAAATATTTTTCAATATATGTATGTATATATTAAAAATAAAATAGTTATGTACATTGGACAACATCGAAAATATTCGTAGATGGCTCGTAGCGGTCTACGTCGTAGACATGCGGCGTAGCATCAAAATCGATTTGCCGGTACAAACTAAATTTAGTATCAATTTTGTACGTAACTGATTTGTTATTCAAGGTAATGTAAAAATACCGCGCCTTTAATATTGAAGCTACGTTTATTAATATTGAAGAAATATGTATAATATAGTTAATTAATATGTATGTCTATTTCTGTTAAATTGACCTGGAGAATGTTGTTAACTAACTTAATAATAGACTGGTATTTACAATTAATATGGAAAAGAAATTGATTAATTCATATTATAATTTAATAAGTAATATAGTTAATATGGTTACTTGAGAAATTATAGTTCTTTAAATATATTAATACAATAAAAAAGTATGTAAAAATTATGATTATTTATTTGTTTAAAATGCTTTAAAATAATACGTACGATTTAAATCGAAATTAGAGAAAGTTTGAAATACTTATAACGTACTCACCGCCGCCATTTTGTTGACATAAATACGGAAATCTCCAAATATTTCCAAGACCGACTGAATAACCTATAATTGATAGGAAGAACTGCAGTTTTCCTGACCACGCCGCTCTATCTTCATCTGGTGCGTCCCTTTGTAAAGAGTTTCTTGATCCTTGAAGTACTATGGTCACCCCATGGGGCCTCTCACTACCATCGGCTCTTGTATTTAATGGCGCCAATTCATGGCCATTCCTAGGTCCTATCGGCTCAGCTTTCGCCGCCATTTTGTTATACAAATAAGTTCGTTAAATAATAACAAATAAACTCGTTAACTTTAACCTATTTCAATTTAACGAGATTCTTCGAATGATAATTATTGCCTATGAATATATTCATAGTATAATGTATGTTTGTTTGTTTGTATAGCTTCTCGTATGTTATATCGTATTGCGTCTTTTTTAACAAATTCTATAACTTTAAAGTATGTCTTTGCTCGTGGCAGCTTTTGTATTAATTTCAATGTATCTATTATCACGTGACCCTTGGCACTAATCATATGAGTCGGTTTTGTTCACTTTTTAATATACTGACATATTACTATTATATATCTTCGCTTTATATTGTGTTATTATATCTGAAACAGAAATTAAATTATTACTTTAAAACAACAATTCTTATAATATATGTACTTTATTAGATTTTTTAATAGAAATATAATTAAACGATTAAGCATTAATCTTAATATTATTTCCTACAAATATCATGTTAGTCACTTGACTTTAAATGTAAATTAGCTTTAGAACTAATAATTAGTTAAAACTTTTGTTCCTATAAACAGAAATCATTCTTAATTGAAGTTATAGCTCAGTTTATTACGAAAGATGTATTTTAATGTCATTATGATTTGAATTATTCTACAAAAACCTTAACTATATTAACTTATAAATCTTATTTACAAAAGAAAATATTAATTAGTCTATAAGTATTTTTAACTCAATATATATATGTTTATATATTCGATTGTATCTCCTACGAAAGTCCAGGATTATTTGGTGATGTATCTCTCTAATCTATTTCATCACTCATCACTCACACCTCGTTCCCTCATCATCTCTCATCACCAGCCAATCATAATTTCCTCACAAATTACTACCAACTCTTCATTTATAATTATTTCTATCACTGGTGTCATTTTTACTTCAACTCACTCATTATTTCTTACTTTTTGTCACCTTAAACTCATTACAATATTCTCATTTCTTCATCATATAAACGCTTTCGTTTCTTAGAAGTCCAATACTCAGTTTCATATTATATATCAGGTATTTTAAACTTATATGTACGACCCTTTAATATATATACTAGTTTTTGCTCGCGACTTCGTCTATTAATTTCGTCATTAGTAATATATGTATATCTGACCGGGCGAACTCTTTTCCATCTTAGAGGCCGTAAATATAACCAGATATTGAAATTTATCAAGTATTCTTTTTCGATCGAACTGAATTAAAATTCTATGTCCGTCTCCTGGTTCTAAGCTATTTCCCCACCAATTTCCAACCATATCCCTACAGCTGTTCTTGAGTTATGAATAGTATAACTAACACGACTTTCTTTTATATAAATTTTTAATTATTAATGTAAATATATATTAAACATCACCCTACCCACTGTAAACTACTTTAATATTGATCAAATAACTGGCGCGTTGCCAGTATTCATCTACCTTCATTCTGACCTTCAAAATCTTTCACAGCGTGCATTTTAACAATATAAAAATTACCATAAGTTACTTCATCTTTAATAACGTAAAAATTATATAAAGCTTTCTATTTAAATTTACCTAATAGAACAATAATTGTCTCTAATTTTGAGGTTTATGTACGTAGTAATTCATATTGTTATAAAAATACATACTTGGTATATTGACTATTTTAACTAAACTACAATACTTACAGTTACGAAGTATCCTTAAAATTTGTTTATTTATTAGTAAAATGATTTGTGTAGAATTTAATATAATTAGTATTGCATATTTTCATTTTCTTTTTAACGATATTTATATTTAAAAATACTATAAGTAAACGTTTAATCAAATATAATTTATTCATAGTACAATTATAAGCAATAGAAATTGTATTAAAATGTATAACATCTGTCTCATGGGATGTTTATTTATCAACTTAAATATTAACAGTTCCTTTGATGAAAAACTTCAAAACTGTTGGTATTGATTTGGCAATAAAAATAAGTAGTACGTAGTTTTAAGTAAAACGAAGATTTAACACGTACCTTAATATTATATTCTATAAGAATATTTTTATATAATTATATATACTTAATAAGTTTTATTAATAAAGTAAATATACATAACATTGGCAGCATACACTGTTCTCTTTGCACAGGTGAAGGCTCTATTTAAAACAACCACCAAATTAAACTTAAATAATAATTACAATGAGATTTAGCATATTTAAATATATTTATTTATCCTTAAACTAAATCAAAGTGTAAATGAAACTAATATTTAAGGATTACTACGCCTTTTTTATTATTCTGACAAGATGATAAATCTCGTCTGCCCGTAATCACGGTTGCTGAAAAGTAATCGAAATTTCGGGAGTATGTAGTAAACTACATACTCCCGAAGTACTAAAAAAGTACTAAAGTAAAGTACTAAAAAACGCGTACTAATCCGAAAATATTAGTTTCATATAAATGAATACTAAAGTCTTAGATATCATCACTGATTTTTTCTATTGATTAGGATAATATCCAAATGAGCCGAATATGAGACGGTACTGGCAAAAATTAATTCATTTAGCAATAAAGTGCAATCATTTATTTATTATTTTAATATTTTAGTACATTTCTTATTCTCAAAGTAATCTAGTCATATACTTTAGCTCTCATTATAAACCAAAGTCTTTAGACCCTGGCTAAAGCTGGAAAATTGCCAGGAAGAAGAAGATAAACCAAAGTCTTTAAAATGCTTGCAATCTTCCAACATTGATCTAGTTTTCTGTCCCAATTAACTGACTAAATTAATGACATCACTTGTAATGAGATAATTGGATCCCTTACAGCAAACGAAGGTCTGATGATGAATCAGGTTTGAGTCACGTAATTATTGAATAATAGGTGTTCCAGTACCAAATAAAAATAATTATGTATATATCCCTACTAATATTATAAATGCGAAAGTAACGCTTTCACGCCTAAACCACTGAACTGATTTTAATGAAATTTGTTACAGAGATGGAATTGACCTTGAGAAAGAACAGGATAGTTTTTATCCCAGACTTTTGAAAGGTTCTCTTGGAAACGCTATATGAACGAACTCCACGCGGACGAAGCTGAGGGCGGAAAGCTAGTATATTAAAACTAAAAACACTAAAAACATAAATTGTAGGTCGTTAAAGATATTTATTAAGAATTATTTATATTTATAATGAAAAGAAAAGCTTATTTAAAAAAATACGAAGTCACGGTATATTAATAGTTAATTTTAATATTATTAATCTTTATTTGTAAGTTAATTTTACACGTAATGATGAAAATAGTCGAATTCAATTACGTAAAGAAATATTATTGTGAATATTATCAATCGTATTTAAAATAGGTTTATTACAAAAACTAATATTTTATTTTATATTATTATTATACATATGTATGTTTTTCTTGAGTTATAACTTAAAATTATGTTTAAGTCAGTTACAAAGGTCGAATATATTTTCATTATCTCGTTCACAGTAGATGAAGTTTCAAATCTCAAGAACGCTTACAATAAGTTTGCATCGTAACTACATACGTAGCGTTTCGTATAAAATGAAGAGCTTTTCTATGTTCATATAAATTCTTCCTGGCAATTTTCCAGCTTTAGCCAGGGTCTGCCTTAGGTGTTGTGAATAGTTTTGACTAATTGTTTTTACAAACGGCCGCCTGCCTGCCATCAACCCTCTTTGGGAATGCATTAATCAGTGATGTCTAAATACTCTTAGAAATTAAATATGACTCGGAAAAATCACATTGGTACTTACCAAGATCGAACCCGCACCCTCGTGCATGAGTGGCGGGCCTTTTAACCACTAGGCCACCACTGACTTTTTATTTTCATATGTTCATATAAATTAATATTGACCAAAGAATGACATTCAAAACTGATTGAATGAATCTGAGATACAATACAATATTCGCCCGTGTTTTGTTACTCGAAAAAATATAACAAAAATGTTCAAATTACATAAATATTAGAATAAATATTATTCAGGAAGAAATGGACGTTTTGAAACATGTATATTTCATAACAGATTTGTTAAAAACAGACAAGATTCATGAATGGATTCATTGTTTACAGTTCCACATATACTGTGACCTTCGAATTTGTGAGAATATACTCTTTAAATAACTGATAAGGAATCCATTTAAACCAGTTATTTTATATCGTCATCATCGTCAGCCTATCAGAGCCCGCTGCTAAGAGGCGTCTTCTCACATGGAGAAGATTTGAGCATTAATCACCACGCTTGCTCTACACGGGTTGGTTATTTCAAACTTATAATTTTAAATTATAAGTCCAGGTTCCCTCACGATGTTTTCCTTCACCGTCTGTCAGTGATGTCTAAATACTCTTAGAAAGTACATATGACTTGGAAAAATCACATTGGTACTTGCTAGGGCCAGGACCGTACCCGCGGCCTCGTGCACGAGAGGCGGGCCCTTTAACCACTAGGCTACCACTGACTATTTTATGCATAAAATGCACATATATTTTCAGTACACATAAATCTTTTACATCATTCAGTTAGTACAATAAATATTTACATGTAAAATAATGATAATGCTCTCACCACAACAATGCTTTTATTTTACAAGTGTTGTTGAAATTAAATATAAAATAAAACATGGAAGTATCTGTTGTTTTGTACTCAAAACATCGTAATATACATAAATATATTTACTTTATAACCGATAAATGAAAAGATTTTATAATCTATAAATATTAGAGAGGAGAACCTTAAAGAAAAACTTAAAATCTATACTAATATTATAAAGCTGAGGAGATTGTTTGTTTGTTTGTTTGTTTGAAAGCGCTAATCTCCAAAACTACTGGTTCGAATTGAATAATTCTTTCTGTGTTGGATAGTCCAGTTATCGAGGAAGGCTGTAGGCTATATAACATCATTCTACAACCAATAGGAGCAAAGATATAGTGGTAAATGTGTAAAAAACGGGAGAAATTATTTCATCTTTGAAGCCTTAAGTTGCGTGCGCCGTGAAAACGGTTCAAGATACA